GGAAGGAGGGGAGAGGAGAGAGGATAGGAGGAGAGGTGAAAAAGGAGGGGGAGAGCAGTGGAACAGGAGGTGGGAGGAGAGAAAAGTAAATGAAAGGAGAGAAGGAGAGCAGTGACTTGCTGGGGCATGCTTTAGTCTCAGTGATCAAAAAAAGGACAGAAGTGTGACATAAAGAGTGATCTCTATGTGTGTGTGTGTGTGTGTGTGTGTGTGTGTGTGTCTTGGTCCATCTGTGTGACTACACGCTTGTGTAAAAACAGCTTGTTAGCATTTTGATAAAGGGACCGTGTGTCTGTGATGTCCACACTTGTCCCTATGTGCGTGGGCATTGTGAGGAGCATGTGCTTTTATTTATTTGTGTGTGTGTCCGCGCTCCTGTGCGTGTCGCAGCATGCTGCCAGAGGGCTGGGGCAGTGAGCCAGACCCAGGGCACAGCATGACACTGCGTCCCGATGTGTGTTGTGACTGCCTCAATTACCCCTCAGCCTGACAGAGAAAGAGACAGAGTGTAGATCTGTGGACAGGGACGGATGATTCCTTATTTTTGTGTCTTTTATCTCCTGCAAACCGATGTTTTCCAACTCTCAAGTCTTTTTTTGGAGCATGCACTTGTGTTCTCAGCTCCCATTTCACAGACACTTCAAGTTAAAACTACATATCAGTGTGCTATCTTTAAACCCTCTATCCCCAGTTCTCTTCTTTTCATATTTTCTATCAGACTAATGCAACACAATGGAGATACATTTGATTCATTAAAGCTTTTACTCTCTGTTCCAAACTCAGAACATACCTCATGCTGGGAAATTTACGGGAGGTGTTGAACGTTACGTTCCCGGCAGCAACAACAAAACCTCACTTAGAACAAGCAGGAGAAGATCTAATAGCCTCCCATCAAACCAATCAATCAGAGCCTATTTATAAAGCACCTTTTGTACAAGTGGATTGCAATTCAAACTGTGTGTGTAATGAAATTATCAGGAAAAATATTAAACAAACAAACAATAAAAGCCTAACATTAAAATCATAATAGAGTAAATAAAACCCAGAATAAACCTCACAATTTTTTAATCCATGTTTAAAAAGATTGAATATTTTTAGCTTCTTCTGGAAGGCTGCTCCAGCACAGCATCTACCTGCTCATTTGATAAATGTCATTGTGTCTGTATGTGGAAGGCATATCTTGCTAACTGTTCATCTCATCGACTTCACACTTGGAATGCATATTCTCAGGGGTCATGGGAAGTGCAGGGAGGGGTTTGCTGTGATATGGTCATGTGATATGTTCAATATTAAGAAAAGTTGAATAAACACAAGTGCCACCAGTGTTCTTTCATTTTATGAAAACAACTGATAATAAAATCTCCATTGCAGATAAACCACGTAGGATGAACACAAAGTTGTCTAACTTCACTCTGCACCATAGTTTAGCTTTGCACACAAACAATAAAAAGTGACGGTGTATTGTAGAACTGTTTGAAGAGGACTCAATAATGACAAGGGATCGTTCTGAAGTAGCTCCAGAGTATTTACACAGGTCAACAGAACAGCCCATTCCAAACAGGCAGGCTCAGAACAGGCACTGGTTATTACTAAATGTCACATCATGGAAGGTTCTGGTTCTGTGTTTTGGAACAACTAAAAAAGACAGAAGATATGAGGGGGCTTCCTGGTTCATACGTTAATGTCATTTTTGCATTTCTCCAAATAGAATCTTATAGACTAATAACAGTTTTTAAATGAATATAAAATCCAAACGGCAGTCAGTGTAAAGTCTTAGATTCAGAACGAGTACAGCAGTATAGATTTGAATACGTATTGTTTATCAGCTGCAGGGAATCGTGAGACTGAGGTTCTGCACATCTGTCTGTAATTCTTCTCCTTCAGAATATTATAAGCGAAACAATGCAATTATTTTTTCATCTAAAGTCGTCAGTCTGCACCTCCATCAGCTGTCACAAAGACACACACGGAAACACTTCAGCTCAACTGATCAGCAAAGCATTGATCATCACAGAGCCTGACAATATTTAACACTTTTTATCTAACAGCCGTAAAAGATTGCAATGTAAGCTTGGTTTTTACCAGAGGGAGGTGTGGGTAATTATAGCTCCACTAAGGAGGTTATGTTTTCATGTGTGTTTGTTTGTTTGTTAGTCAGCAGGATTAATCAAAAAACAACCCATTTCCATGAAGCTTGTGAAGGGGGGGGGGGGGGGGGGGGGTAATGACCTAGGAAACAACCAATTCAATTTTGGAGCAGCTCTGCATAAATGTGCAGATCCAGGAATTTCTATTCATTTTCTTAAACTCTGCAGGATAGGGCGATCTCCGAGTTCTCTTCTAGTGTAGTTTCTAATAGCTTTTTTACAACAAAGCCAGTGCACATGTATGTGTATTGAACACTAAAATAAGCACTTTTAAAATAGCCAGTAGATGGATTACTGACTAAAGCGACTTTCAGACATGCACTGAACTCAGTAGGGGCTGTATGTGTATATGCAAATGTCCAAAGGTCTCTGCCCGGCCCCCCCTAGCATAAAGTCCACAGAAACTCCAGCGTAACCGATGGGAAAGCAGGACATCCTCCGAATGATTCAACACGAGCGAGTGGAGGGGTTGATGATGCTTCTAACATGCGACAGACGCAAAAATGAAACAGAGAAAGAGAACAAACATCTCCCGAAGAAAAAGCGGTGCAATACACGTAGAAGACACACACAAAGATGTCAGGAGAGATTGTGGTGATATGGACTGACATCTGTAAACAAAAACCTGATCTCTGCAGTGGTATAAATACTCTACATCCTGCCTCTGTCTGCTCCACCGCCCCACACCTGAATCCTCCGGAGAATTTGTTGCTTTTGTGAAAGCGTCTGAGCAGAGAATCCCCCGCTGCGTTATTCATGTGTGAGAGGAAATCTCTGGAGAAAATCCGGACATGGATCTGTCACATCTTTTCCACTGGTTGGTGCTCCTGTCAGTGTCTGAGCCCCTGTGTGTGATGCTTTGTTTGCTAAAGTGTGATTTTAAAACATATGACTTATGCACACTCTCAGCAGGACTTTAGTTGTTTGTAGCCCACAGCATATAAAAAGAAAACCATTGGAGAGGCGATGCATACCTTGTGTGTGCGCATTGTAAATGTCACTGCCATGCAGGATTATTATAGTTAATGAAAACTAAGACTAAAACTAAAAACTTTCAATGAAAAAATAATTTAGTTAAGTGAAATAAAAATAAAAAGGACAATTACAAAAAAACCGAAAACTAAATAAAAACTAGAATAAACAATGCAAAACTAACTAAAACTAAACTGAAATAAAAAAGCAAACTGAAAAACTAATGAAAATTTCAAAACTATAATAACCTTGCTGCCATGTTCCCTTTAATTACCCAGACGTGACGGTGTGCCATAGTCTAACTGCACGGCCGTTTTATTATATAGCAGCACCAGGAGAAACCCTGCCCACGTCGGTGACCGTAGACATCTATAAATTTTTCAACGTCCTCCGCAGGCAGGCAGCATTCAGCATGAACTTGTAGGATACTGCTCTTACTGAGTGTGTTCATGTGACAAGCATACAGTTCTCCGCAGCTTAACACCTGCCCTGCTCTGTGAGATCATACTGTCATCCCGTGTGTCCCCACCCCTGAACAATTAGCTCTAAAAGATCTGGACAAACCCACCCAAGTAATATTCCTATCAAGTTTGGTGATAATTGGTCCATGCATCAATGAGTTACGTTGTACACACACACACAAGGAGAACTGCTGTAGGCAGGTAACTGTTGTGACCTCATAGTGTGGAAAAGGGGCAGAAATGAATGCCTCTGCCAGGATGTCAAGTCTACATGTTAGTGGCTTCTTTGTTTAGTGTGAAAGAGGTCAAAAGGAATAGTTCACTCAAAAATTGACTACTCTCATGATCTACTCACCACTATGGAGGGGTGGGTGCAGCGTTTGAGTCCACAAAACACTTTTGGAGTTTCAGGGGTAAAAAGCATTACAGCCAAATCCAAAACAATTGAAGTCGATGGTGACAACTTCTTCAAACGTAAAAAAACAACAGAATAAAACATGAACTGCCTCCATACTGCTCCTGTGGTGTCATCCAAGTGTCTGCAAGCCCCGACATTCAAATTCAGCCATAGCTTCAGTTACTGCAGCAGTAATCGGACTTTTAGGCTAAAAACATGGTGTAAATGACCCCATTTAAAGTTGAATTTGAATGTTGGGGCTTGGATGAATCCACAGGAGCAGTATTGAAGATTTGATGTTTTTTACTGTTGTTATTTTTACATCGTCATTTACACCATGTTTTTAGGGAGAGGATTAACTGATCAGGAAAGTTGTTGAGTTTGACGGTCAAATCTGATCAAGGCATGGCAAGTTTATCATTATAGCATATTTAAACACTAAGGAAATTCAAAGACGACACTTTATAAAGGTATTTAAAAGATTTGCGAGGAAAATAGAAAACATTAATAAACTGAGAAAGTAACAGTGCAGTGTTAGAAATGAGTCATTATTGGATTTAATAAAGGCATGGCAAACAGGAATGTCTTCGTTACAGATTTAAGCAGACCTGCAGGTCTCTGGGAGCTTGTTCCAAGTATGTGGCGCTTAAAAACTGAACGCTGCTCCTCCATGTTTGGTTTTGACTCTGGTGACAGAAAGCAGACTAGTCCCAGATGATGTGATGGTTAGTCTGGATTGTTCATAACGTAGCAGTGGATCAGAAATATAGTTTGGCTCCAAACCATTCATTATATACCAACAGCAGTCAAGTCTTTGACAGACAGGGAGTAAGTGTAAAGATCTTTACAGCTCTCTTGGTGTTGGTGACGACTCGAGCAGCAGCGCTTTGAATCAGCTGGAAGCCCAGATTTTATTTTATTTTATTTTATGTTAGTCAGAGGTAACTTAACATGTTGCTTTTCGGTAAGGGAGGCGAGGACCTTATTTGAATTTCTTCCTGGTCAAAAGTTAGGGTCCTGTGTGAGGAGTCTGTGGCGGCTGCGTCCGACAGGAGAACTTGACCCGTGAGAGCTGTGAGAATTTGGAATCATCAACACAAAGTGGAACGGTGAGTGCGTTTGACCAAATGAACCATTTTTCAGACAGCTCTAAAAAGATGGTCCAGTGACAACACAAGCTCAAGTAAGCTTGTATCAATGTGAGATCAAATCTCTGTCGGCTCACAGACTGCTGCCGACACTGAAACGTTAACTTTAAGTTAAGAAAGCAGGTGTTTTTTTAAAAGAAGTGTTAGCAGTGTTAGCATGCATGCAGAATGTGCTTGGGGCTCACGCTCACTTCTCTGTTCACAACGTACTAATTCAAAATGTGCACTTGTGCACTGTGATTTTTTGCACTCTCTAGCTTTATCCGTTTCATTTAACCATTCAAAGGACTTGGTCGTAAAGGGTTAGTAGAGTTTTGCAGAGGGTTGGATATTAATCTTTAGTTGTTTGTGGATGAAAGAACAAGGCTAGTTAAACTGCTCACTGCTCACAATTCTAATATGAAATGACTGTGGTTGTAGAGCTGCAGGGGATTGAGATGCATACACAACACAGGTAGAATGGAAAGGAAACAAAATTACTTGTGGTGTAATTCTGTAACATTCTCTGTTTTTTTCAGGTGTACGTGGAGTTCAACAGGATTGTCAGCAAGAACTTAAAGCAGAAATTATATGAAAGCATTGAGGGGCACAGTCTGTGCCACATTCAAATATTTTGATCCAAGAGAGGGAACGGTGGGCAGCTGTTCACAGTTCTCACAAGAGACCAAGGTTGGTGCATACCCATCATGTACTTGCATTGTTTTAACAACTTATGTCATGACAACATTTTCCCTTCCACTCCCCGTCTCTGGGTACCCCAATCCACTGAGGCTGGATGGGCAATAGCCTTTCCACGTCTTTTCGGCTGCATTGCTGAACATTTGTGATATTTATTTAATGACAGATGTAACTGTGCTCTTACATTTATCTTCTTTATTAAGGACTCTGAGGATGAGGACTTGTTCCACCACTTTGACTTTGGGATCCTCCTTGTCGAGCATGAAGGTGCTGGGCTCTCATCTTCCCTGCATCTCAGTTCATCCTCACTGAAGATCCTCATCGAGGGAGAAGTTGTGATGGGTAACATTAGAGACCTGCCAAAGGCTATGTGTATTCTGTGTTGACTACCATACGCACTTCTCAACTACCCTGAGTCTGTGAAGCTCACTTGTCTTTTTTATTGCTTCGATAAAACATTTGAATTGTTTTGTTAACAATAAAATACATTGAAGCCTAGACCTGTATTGTTTAATGTCTTACTTTCCCTACAATTTTGTTTTAACTATGTATTTAGCAATCTCATATGATTAAATTAAAAGAAAAGACTGATTTGAAGTAGTATTAAGTAATGTTTGATATTCATTATTCCTAAACTATGTTTGTTTGTTTAACTTAAAATTATAATTTCATTAAACTAAGAAATAATTTATGTTAATTAATGAGTGAAGATGGCGAGTGTAAATTTGAATATGTGCTCTGCATTAAGTTTTTAGTTAATACAATCTGACCATGGCAAATCCTGCTGAGACATCATTTTTAGAATCCTGGGTATGACCCTAACCACAAACTCTTGATAAAGCAGAAGCTTTTGAATCTATGAATCATCAAAAACGTAATATATAATATATTATTTTACAGAATGAAACTATTTTGATATTTACTGAGCAGCCACAGCATCAAACATACCAGATTGAAGTACATCCACCAGCTCCTCACAAATCCAAGCCATGAGGCTGGAAAACTGTGGCATACGAAGTTATCGTTGGCTTATTTCTGTCTTACATGTTCCATGGCAAGTCTTCAAACGCTTATCTAAACCGTGGGACTGAGCTTCTCGCAGTCAAATGGAAACATGGAACCATAGTTTGGTGAGCAGCGTTTAGTTATTATTTTTAAGTTTTATTCTCTTGCAAGTATGCAAACATTCTGAAGCTGTCGATATATACAAAAATTAAATTTTACACAGAAAATCTCGTATTTAAAAAAGTGTACTAATGAAATGGTGTAAACATATTCACCATAAAGTATTTCCTGATTTAGTTTTTCGTTTTTACTATCTTTTTAACTATTATCTATCCATAAGCAAATGCACAGTTCGGGGCTTTGGAAGCTGGCCCTCTATTCATAATTCGATGGGTGTACATGTCAGGTGTATGTGCACACTGAGAAAGAACATGTCTTTAAAGTCATAAGAGCTTCAGAGCATTTGTGCTTTTTCTTCCCTCTCCATCAGTTCTCACTCCATTTTGCCTCTTTCTTTCTAATCACATTTAAGGCACAGCCATTAGGACGAGAAGGTTTGACACTGAAGTGCCTGCTACATGCATCACAGTCCCTTAGAGAAAACTGAGGAGACGACCACACATGCGGTCATTCTCTAGAGTGGGCAAGAACTGCGTTTTTCAGACACTTGAGAGACAATTGATGCGGCACACTGTGCAACAGATTAGCAACATTTAAAAAAAATCTTGTGATGAATCACAATGGAGGATTCGATGTTTCATTATTCTGTCTAGAGAACTCGGCAGCCATGTGTTATCAATGTCAAGAGACGAGCTATATGTGAGCAAGTAGCACAAGTGCACTGCACGGGGGTTGGAGGAAAAAGATAAAAGATGACAGCATCACTGAGCCGTCTTGAGTTGGGTTAGTTGGTTACTATGGATACCATACATATGTGCACCAGCTCTTGACACACACACTCCGTCAGAGCCCGACCTTCTTCAGTCCCCCCTTCACTGTCATAACATCACTCACACCCGGCCCACTCCGAGCCACATCCCCACCAACATAATGACATTTGCATACAGATGTCTCACTTGTGCTGATAATGCATGCGACATGTGCGTGTGTGTCTGTGTGTTAGAGCGTGAGAGTGTGTATAGGATGCAGCTGTAATCAGCTGACATCTAAGTACAGGTTAGGGCTTGAGGGCAAAGCAGCATGTGCAACCTTGTGAAAAAAGAAATCCTCATTACAATCATTATCGCCATCTTTATCACAAGCACAACTTCTTTGGCTGGAACACACACACACACACACGCACACACAGTAACTTAAGTGCTCTGAAAAGTGAGAGTACGGGGGAGGAGGACAAGATGGAGGGATGGGTGAATTGAGGGAAAAAAACTCCTTCTAGTTTGCTGGAACAACTGTGCCTGGCAGACAGAAGTAAAAACGGGATTGAGTCAAACTCGCCAGGCCCTGTTCCAAATCTGTGGCCCTGCCCCCATCCTCCCTCTTTCACTTCTTCTTCTTGTAGCGTTTTCTTCTCTTGCCTCATGAAACAAGCCACCTACACTTTAGGACATCTGCTAAGCTGATTTTCTGGAGCTTAGCAGCACCACAGTAGTATCAAAGAGATTAGGTGAAACAACATCCAACTCTGGCTTTGTGCTGCGTTTCAATAATGCAGCGCTGTGCGACCGTGCGCATGTGTTTGTGGCGGTTCGCCTCCAGTGCGCCCTTGCCAGCTTGCTGTGTATGTGCGTGGGTGTGTGTGTGTGTGTGTGTGTGTGTGTGTGCATTACAGTGCCATAAGTCACAGAGCTGGTGTAATACAGTTGGATCTGGAGTGTGAGCCCTTCTTTGCGTACAAGGATTGAGAAAGCGTAACCAGAGAGCTGCTTCAGAGGATCTCTTAGTCTTTGTTTTCATGCCAAGCCCATTATCACTGGAGAAAAATCATTTCCAGAAAATAAACTGTTGTTTGGCACCACTGGAAATCCACTAAATGTTGGAGTTATTTTTGCCCTGTGATGACTAACAATCATATATTTGCACTTAATGTGTTTTTACTCTGTTTATTTGTCTTACTTACTGACTCTAGATTCAGTTTTCACCATGCAGCACATGTTAATTTGTTTTTCCTCTGCCATACATTTGGTAATGAAAGGGTGCTTTATGAAGCGAAGTGACTATATCTTAGTGCATTATGCATGCATGATGGCTAACGCTTAGTAACTATCCACACATGTAATTAAGTAGTGAAATGTAATAATGTCATTTATCCCTCTGGGTTTAGGGTTTGAATAATTGCTGCCGAGTCAGCCTACTGCACATTATATTTGTGTGTGTGAGTGCGTGAGTGTGAGTGTGTGTGTGTGTGATGTCTGAGTGTGTGTGTGAGTGTGAGTGTGAGTGAGTGAGTGAGTGAGTGAGTGAGTGTGTGTGAGAATGAAAGATCAAGAGAGGGAGTTTTCTCATTCAGTTTCTTTCTTTCTTTCCTTCTGTCTTTCTTTCCAGCAGCTTTCACTTTTTTGTGCTCACTAACTAGAGAAAAGAGAGTGGAGGGAGAGGAGAGGAGAGGGAGGCTGGAGGAGGAGGGGGTGGGGGTGGGGGGGTCAGGGGGTTGAAAGAAGAAAAGAGAGCAAGCCAAAGAGCGTCGGGTGCTGTGTCAGTCTGATATTTTCCATAGTGACAGCTGGGCCCAGAAGCTCAGACCCTTTTCTTCTGGCACACAAAGCCCATTAAGTATGCCACTCGCTCAATGGCCCCCGCAGCCTCCAAATTGCTCCAAGCTCCTCCCTAAAGTGTGGCAGCCTTTGTCATTGTAATCAGGCCTTGTTTGTGAAGTGCTGCCTGTATTTACCGCTGCTCAGGGTGCATATTTGCCCAGCCTGCTGCTGCTGGGTGAGCGCAGGAGGCAGAGCGAGGGGAGAGAGGCTGAGAGATAGAGGAGAAGGCTAAGAGATGGGGGAAAATGATAGAAGTTGAGCGCTCGAKAAAAAAAAAAAAGAGGAGGGGAAAGGCGATGGGAGTAGTTTTCAGGCGTGAGCAGAGAGAGGATGAAAAGGATGCGAGGGTCAAGTGTGCAGAGAAGATGCGGTGCCTCAGGACAGAGGAAGGGAAGTGAGGAATTCAGCAGAGGGGAGGCCTCAAAGAATTTGACTCAGTGACTTTGGAGGGTGACGGGGGGTCAGGCGGTCGACCTCAGCAGGGGGGGACAGAGTGTGAGACACAGGGGAGGAGTGTGTGATGCTCGTCTGGACTGCATGGCAGATGAGGAGGGGTGGGATGGAGAGGGCTCCCTGAGATGTTGCATCATGGCTGCACATCGAGGGATTCACGCTTGACGAAAACTTAGAGGGGCAAAGTGACGGAGAGCTGCAGCAGACAGACAGAGGAGCAGACAGCGCAGAGGAGCGGAGCGATGTGATGCCTTTTGGCAGAGCTGACCCCATTCCACGTGTCACCCCGCCCTCCCCACGCTCCACCCTTTGGGCAGGCCCAAGTTGTGGATCGGGCTGGGTGAGCAGGGGAGGGTCTCCAGTGGTGACAGTCATCCAAAGTGGCATCCAGACCAAACTTTGTCTGTCTCTTGGCCTATTCCACTCTCTCGCTCTCTCTCTCTCTCTGTGTGTGTGTGTGTGTGTGTGTGAGTGTGTGTGTGCACCCTTTTAAAAAATTCATAAGTGCCAGAAAAGAGAGCGGAAGGAGAAGTGTAATATGTGAGTAATGAAGAGCCAGGGGCAGAGTGTGTCCTCGCCATATAAAATATTTTCCTACACCATCAATGTTGATTATGTTAAAGTGTAATTTAACAAGTTTCAAGTCTTATAACAATAGTCAGGTGCTTACAATTGCTGTAATAATTCCTAATGTTCGCACTGGCAATAAAGAGACCCCCCCCCCCCCTCCTAAAGTGCGTTCATTGTAAGCAGTCATAAACTAAATCCACTGTCCTAGTTCTGTGTAATAATACATTCCTAAACCACGCTGTAGCTAATACGATGCTTCAGCAGAGTGTGTCAGTATAAATAGGCATTATTTCCAGTTTACAGTTTCTCCCTTTGTGTTGACTCTCTTAACTTCAGAGAGGAAATGAATAAGAAACACTGCAGCGCATGAACACATTTTTATAACTGAAAAGACCGACGCTGGAACAACAGTTTGATTAATCAGTTAGTTGATGAACGCAAAACAATCGTTTGAAGACGTCTGAAGTACAACTGTGACTCTGTCCCACATCATTTCAATAGAATCAGATTCTAGTCAAGGGGCATGGAGCAAAAACCTGTTTAATATCCCGTGTGGTCATATTTGAGCTAGTGTGATGCTATCCTTCTGCGTGGTGTGATGGATGGAGGTTTGAATAACTCAAGATAGACTTTTATAAAAATCCCTGGTTGAAGTGCTGTGTCT